GAGAGGAGAAGGAGAGAGGAGAAGGAGAGAGGAGAAGGAGAGAGGAGAAGGAGAGAGGAGATTTCGTGGCCCTTTGTGATCACATTCACCCACTCACTCACTCTCACTCTCACAGTCACTCTCATTCTCACTCTGAATCTCACTTGCACTCACTCACTCACTCACTCACGCACGCACGCACGCACGCACGCACGCACGCACGCACTCACTCACTCACTCACTCACTCACTCACACTCTCTCTCTCTCTATCACTCTCACTCTCACTATCACTCACACTCCACCTGTCTGAACCCCAATGCGTCTAGATCTCTAGACTTTCTGCTGCTGCACCTCTAGACCTCACACACACACACTGTTTCGGGTCTCTTACCGGGATAAAATCTTTGGCGGCATTGCCGGGGCGGGGCCGGGAAGGTCGTCTTCACTCCAGTAGATGATGCAGGTGGGAGTGGGCGCCAATATCTGTATAGTATATAGCTTGGATCATGTGACTATTACCAGGCATGTTTTAGCTTTAGATAGATATACACATGTATATATATATATATAAACCTCTCTCTTCCATGCTGAAATGTAAAGACGGGGTATTGCAACTGAAAGTCTTACAGAATCATAGGACTAGTCTCCACAAGTGACTGGTAGGAGGCATGCTCTATATAACATAGTTCTTTCAGCCATGTTCAGTAAGCTGTTGCAACTCTTCCTGATGGGGCAACCTTCACTGCTGTGGTGGATATGCTTGCCCAAGCCCTCACCCCACTACTGCCGGCATTTGGCTTTGGCTATTGGCTCATTATCCGCGGCATTTGGCTTTTGTCATTGGCTCATCATCCGCGGCCTCTCCATACTTCTGCCATGTTGAAATCTCAAGACGAGGTATTGAAACTAAAAGCAATGGTCTCGGGAAATCATAGCACGCCCGTCTCGGCAGGTGACTGGCACCAGGCATGTTCTATGCACGTCACATAACTCTCACATAACTTTTATGTTCACATGTCAAAAGACTACTCTTGGGTAGTAATGATGCTAGTGATGCAATACATCCGTCACCTTGCATCTTTTGCATCACCAAGCCACCAAAAATCACCTCCGTGGAAATTGCTTCCCCATCTCCCCACCCACACCCCCTAATGACGTTCGCAGAAGTAACTTCTGCCTAGCCTACAGTATCGGCTGGCTTTTGTAATTGGGCCACAAGACAATATACTTGGGGGGTGGGTTCCAGACAGTAATGTTGTGCCCCGTTCCACCTGCCCCAGAAAACAGCAGGAGTGGGGGGGTGGAATTTATCGTGAAGCGGCGTGAATATGAGTGATGAGAAATGCAAGAGACTCAGCATTAGTGTGTGATGTCATGATTGGGCCCCACGCAATTTCCTTACCCATGCCTTACCTAATGGAGAACTGGATAACAATTGTCTTTCGCTATGTACCAAATGTTCGGGCTTCGGACGCTGCCGTCTTTGCAGCTGCCGCCGCCTCGTTTCCAGCACGGAACCCAGGGCCAAGTCCTGCATATTGCGACGATCAGGAAGATCACATTGCGATGGGGAGCGGGCAGCGAGCCTAGCCTCATCTGGCAGCTCGTCGCTGAAGAGCTGGTGCACAGACACCTTTCTGCTCCCCCCGGAGTCACATGAGGCTTCTGAGGTATGGGTCAGTCACTGCAGGGTCCATGAATTGTGAAGTTGACACCACTCAAAGTGTTGCCCATTGACACCATTAATAGAGGCCTAAGGACAAGCCTGTAGTAAGAGTCAAGGGTCCGTCGTTCATCTCACACTGAGGCTGGTGTGGAGGAATTCGCTGTTGACAAACATAGTGACAGTCACATTGAAAAAGACATAGCCAGAGAGAGAGAGAGAGAACGAGAACGAGAACGAGAACGAGAACGAGAACGAGAACACACAGAGAGAACTCAGAGAGAACAGAGAGAGAGGGAGAATATAGGAAAAGGAATTAAGAAAAGTAGATGATCTGTGCACTCTTTAAAGACACCATTGCTCCAAGCAGTCCAAGGTCTCCTAATCTGACACATGAAAATGGTGATCTCCCCTTGTGCCGAACCCAGAGAAGCCAATGAAACTGAACCACAAAAGGAATTGCTGCAAGTTTGAGCCACAATGATTTGCTGCATGCTCCATTGCTCCTGGAATTCTTAGTCCCTGACCATGCCCATACATGACGGGCCACTGCAGCTGCAAACAGCAGCTCTAGTATAGAGCAGGGCGGCAACGTAGCTTTTGAAGACTCAAAATCGTCTGACTCAAAACTGCTCCAAATCTAGATGAGATGTTGTCCGCAACACAATCAATAGCAAAGGACAAAAATTCAACCCGTGCAAGCCTCAACCAATCAACAAGTTTGCATGCAAATGGTTCTAGACTTTTTGCTGCCGAGGTCTTTTGTCTGGCCAAGGAAAGGCAGCACACTGGCACTTTCGGGTGCTCGCCGTTCTTTCGCATCTGCTCCGTCCGATGATGTGGGCATCTGCTCCGTCCGATGATGTGTTCAGTCACGAGATCTTGTCACGTAGGTCGCATGCGGAAGACTGATCAAATCTGCATGATCCAAAGCACTCACCAGACAAAGCGTGGGACAGCTGCCTGCGGGAATGGAACCTGCGGACGGGGCTGCAACAGTGTCCACAGCGAAGGAACCAGAATGAAACGGGCTTGCCTTGTACTCCTTGCATAGGTCAAGGATTCGTTCCTGTTAGAGATTCTGACTCAGAATACTTGCTCTAGACTGTACAATCTTGGGAAAGAACTGTCAATCGACCTTCCCGGCCTGCGTCAAAGGTTCTTCTCCCATCTCCTCAGCATGGAGACCTTAATAAAATATCACGTCAAATCGAGCCGTAGAGTGGTTTTCAGGCCTGTTTGAGCTACGAAGGCGGCAGCAAGGCCAACCTCGGTTTCAGATCATGTTGCCCTCCATGAGATTGAAGAGTTTTAACTTTTGGGTTATTTGGAGAGAAATAGTTTAAAAAATACAGCTGAGGAAGGAGCTGAAAGAGCTCCTCGAACGTCATGATGCAAAGAATCCCCAACGTGACAAATGCGGAAGTCCTGAAGAATTACGATGGCTTCAGGGTGTTGCTGTCGCTCCAACTATGACCAACCGACTCATCCTGACAGCGCCACTTCAGCAAAAAGTAGTCGGACCGCAGTCGCCTCATCCAGCTCGAGCTGCAAAGCATCCTTGCACCGCAGCTCTGCTGCGGCCTCGCACAGCTGCCGTCGGGCCTGCAAAAAGAATAGGGCCGTGCAGGGTGCGAAGACAAACAAAACAGAGTTCGATTGGTTTTACATGTTTTACATATATATATAATATATATATAATGCTGAAGGGGTTTCAGTAGTTTAGGGGTGTCTTGCGCGGTGCTCAACTTCGACTTCGCAATCGCTTCGTCTTGTCGCCCTAAGGCCTAGGCCTCCTCAAACGCTGAGCTATGGGGCTTGCCAAAGTAGATGACCTGGATCATTGGACACCCCAGCACCACAGCACTGGAATCTGCATTGCTGCGGGTGCCGCAGGTGAGTGCTTAAGCAGGACAGGTTGACATTGAACTAGTACAGTACACTTGATGTATATACTAGAGATGAAGATGCAGGCTTTGGACTCGCACTGTTGGCGAACTGCCCAAAATCAAGAGGGTTACCGCTCAACATCTATCAAAGACTTTTCTGACTGCATTGTCTGTGATCATCTATGATTATTCATGATATTTAATTGAAATCTGCGTTTCGGTCTCTTCTAATATGTCTTCCATTTTGGTTCGAGCACGCTGTGGGCGAGCTCGAAGATCCAGCCTGTCCCCCGAGCCGCTCATAATACCTTCAGCACCAAGGAGGGCTTGTGAGGGAGATGTGCACAGTGTAGGCTGGTGAATCCCAGAAACCGATTCAAGAAAAACTATGGAAAGGCTAAATGAAAAGCTAACAAGGCCTATTCATGTGTCAGGATCAGCCCTTTTGTGCTTGGCTTTACCCAACAAGTGGCGGACAAAACTGGCGCCCATGTCTTAAGTCTGTGCAGAACGGAAGTGGCCTTGTACTATTTGCACCCGTCCAAAATCTGAGCAAAGCACTGTGCAAGAGCACCTCCAAGGTATGCTCTCCAGCCTCCCGGACGAATTACCTGTGGCCAGTTTCAAATCCAAACGAACATACTTTTAGGCCCTGAAGCCTGAAAAATGGGACGCCTTTCATGCAGCCCCTTCTGCTCCACGCTGCAGCTCTTTGGCTTAGAAGCGACACGCTGTCTGGTACACGAGCAAGAACAGAAAGGACGCTGATCGCAAAAGATCTTTTGTGACAAGTGTTGTGATCGGTCCAGCTCAGAGTCGTGTGGCAACTTCCGGTAGGTGGCTTGTCTCGGCTTCACACATTTGACTTGCTGCATTTGTCCCTGGAAAGCGACTGAGGGTAGTTGACAGTCGTCACAGTCTACACCTGAACGAGCCACCACTGCAGTTAGAGCACATTCTGCATCCTCCCAGTGGCCACAGACCACCGCAAAGTTTCCTCAACTCGTCGCAAGTCCGCACAAATAGGGCACGAATCACTGCAGTCAGGAATCCAAAGCAGAAGCGGATTGCCGAGAAACAGAAAAGCAGCCCTGACAACCCGCAACGAATCGCAGCACCACTCCTCACATTCAACAACGCTTCACCGAGCTTCGTGTGCTTCTTCGTTCTTCCTGTAGCATGTTGTCATAGAACCATCCAGGTATTTTGGAAGTGATTCAGAAGGTATGGAACCAGCACGTGCAGCGTTTGACTTTTAGTGTCTGACTTCCGGCGTAGATGACATGTCTTTACCGAACACAGGTCTCTCGATGTCTTCGTGAAACTAGGGCGGAGCCAACTCTGCAAGTCGGTTCCAGGCTTCCACACCCTCAGATCTGGATTGGCACAAATCATCGGCCTGCAGTGCCAGTCCGCACAGTCTTCCAAAAAAATAAAGTATCGCCTTGTTTAAGACCATTTTTCTTGTTTTCCCTTCTTTAGCTCGCTCTGCCCTCCTACTACTGGATCAACTTGCCACCTACTTTTATGATTTAGTAAGAGCTAAGTTAGCTCCTAGTAACTGGACGCAGGATAGCTCAGCTCCCCCCGCCGCCCTTATAACCTGACCTTGGGATCTTCCAAACAGGCCAGCTGTACAGCATGCGCTGAATCGCCGCCCGGAAAAGGGGCCGGTAGAGCCGATGATTGCCAGTGCGCTCATAGTCGCAGGCATCTTCGGCCTGAGAACAAAGGCTCGTCCAGCTTCACTCACCGGAGAGATAGAGAGAGAGAGAGAGCTCTGCGACAACTTTGCCAGCAGAAGCAACCAACCTTTGCATGTCAAAACATCTGCTGATCCAGAAATGAAGCCCACCTGTGTCCCTGCAAAGCGGCTCTCGACGCCAGAGACCAGGATCTGGAAGGGAAAAGGAAGGAGAAAGCAACCATCAACGAATGCGTTTTGGTTCGTAGTGACAAGATTCTCTGGGCAACTTCAAGAGCCAATGCCGCTTTGGAACTTTTTGGTATGTGAGGAAACACAGCCTGAGGCGCTACTTCGTATTTCAACCATACAGCCCTGCTCGCATTGAGCGAAACCAGGAGGTGCCAAGCGTGAGCCTGAGGATTGACATGTGTGACTGTATGATACCTGAGAAGGGAGGGGACGAAAGCCAGCCCCCGTAAGAATACATCAATATGGTTATGGGGGATTCGAGCGCGCACTGGAGCCGCTGTCACGCATGGGGAAATAGAAGGCAGAGGCCGATATGACAGGGCTCTCATTCACAGGTGGGGGTGTGGGGTCTTTTGGCTCAAGGAGCGCTTTCAAGATAAAAAGGGCACCCCTAAGTAACTGAGGGGCACTTGCCTGCTGCTTGTTTATCTTGTCTTGTAGATGGACTCTTAAACTCGGCATGCTGCTACAAGTGGACCGACGAAAGTTTAGTGCCAAGATCATGTGATCGTTTAATTTCGGGGAAGGATTACCGTTGTTATGGGGGGAAGTCGACATTGCAGCGACGTCTACTGCTGTTGGAAACAGAAAGCAGAATGCGTAGGTTGGGGGGTTCAAGAGCATTTTCAACTTGAAAAAGGGCACCCCTAAGGAACTGAGGGGCGCTTGCCTGGTGCTTGTTATTCTTGTCCTGTAGATGGAGCGTGCTGCCAAGAGTGGACCGATGTTACTGCCAAGATCAACGTGATTGTCCAACATCGGGCACAGAGTACCTTTGCGATGGGGTGAAGTCGACATTGCAGCCACCCCGACTGGTGGTAGAGATAGACAGGGGAATACATCGGGGGGTTCCCCTTTTTCGTCCAAGGGCATTTTCAAGCTGAGAAGGGGCACCCCTAAGTAACTGAGGGGCGCTTGCCTGTTGCTGTTTGTGTCTCTTGTCTTGTAGATGGAGTCATAAACTCGGCATGTCGCCAAGAGCGGCACGATGAAAGTCCACTGCAAAGATCTGTGAGAGAAGCACATCTCACTTTCCTGAAGGAGTTCCAACCACTTTTCACGTCCCGTTGTCCCCTTTCCTGTCACTTGAGACGAGGGTTTCCATGGTTCCAAGTCGGTGCAGAAATATACTGTCTGTCTATCGGCATGTATCTCAAGCACCACCAGGCAATCCCTGTGAGCCAAGGGGCAAAGTCTGCCTCCTCCACACTGGAAGCCAAGGTGTATCCTAGCACCGCAACAAAATTACAATGTAACCATGTTCAAACGGATATGGCCATAAGGGCTGTTGGATGTCTCACGACACAAAGGAAAGACCCTGCTGTAGAACGCAATTAAGGTTCTGCCGGTCATGGTCGTAGGTCAAAATCAAACCATCAAACCTTTGGTATAATTTCGCGCTGTATGCAGATCAGCCATAGCATCAATCCCGACATGCTACCAGTAGCATTCATTCAATTCAAGTTTCAGAGTTTAAAAGGTCAAATCTTCAGAGCCTTCAAGCCCATCGAAGAAGTCGCTCAGGCCTCTCAGCTCTCTCCTCGCCGCAAAGGTTAGACCTATATACTGAGTTCCGATACAAACCTGAACTTGTCCAAAGTATTGGTGTCCAAACAGTAGCTTGGCGAACTGAACAACGGTGTAGACTTGAAAATAAGTACTTTGCCATAGTTTGCCAGCTTTGACTGGTGATATGTTTGCTGACTCTATA